ATACACCAGAGCTGGAAGGTTTGAATCCAGTCTGGGCCTGCCAAATTAAAAGGACATCTACAGTCAAAAAAAAAAAAAAAAAGGCAGGCATTTTCGGGGCACCAGTAGGTAGTTACAGCTACTTGGGAAGCTGAGGCAAGAGAATTGCTTAAGCCCAAGAGTTCCAGGTTGCTGTGAGCTGTGATGTCACGGTACTCTACCCAGGGGAACAGCTTGAGACCATCTCAAAACAAACAAAACAAAAAACAAAAAAAACCCCAAAAGATCTGCTCATGGCCTGGCTTTCTCTGTCTACTCATCCCCATTCTAGTTATCGATACCTTAAAATCTGGTTTAACATTCTGCATGATGGGCCTGAGACCCCTTTTTAAGCTTTTTAATATCAGCACTAACTGGGGGATGAAGTGCATTGTCAAGGTGAGGAAGAAAAAGCAGATGAAGCAGGGGCAGGTAAGAAGCTACATTACCTAGAAGGGAAGACGGCCAGAGAGACGTAGGAGTAATAATATCCAGGAGGAGAGTGAATTCAGAATATCTATTGTTCCATTAGCTTATCTTGTTGAAGATGTGTATTTTCCTCCCAGATAGTAACAGTAAAATGTCAGATATTAGGCGACCAGAGGTGAGGTATGTATTTCATTTTTTTGTTCCAGGTGCCAAAGAACAGTTATTACAACCAAGACAGTGAAACAAATGAGCAGAATAAGCAGATATAAGTGTGCAAAAGGGCAAAGACTATAAAGGACTGTACACTCCAGAGAAGGAGCACATCTACATTTCCAAGTGGAGAAGACCCTGGGATTAGCAAGATATTTCCCCTTACATGGATTTTCCAATTCTAGGTTAGTGGTGTGGGGGTAAAATATTGATGCTATTTCTTCAAAATGGGGAAACCTTCAGAATGGCGAGTTCTCCCATTTCTATCCCTGTAATTAATGGACACTATTTGTCATTGTAATTGTAGAGTATGATAGAACTGGTGTAAATTGTACTATGTTAATGAAAATAGGTCACTTGAACCTACTGTCATCTTACTTGTATGCCCACTCCAAAGACCCCTTTTTGGTGGCCTCTCTACCTCTGAGGCTCATTTTGTAGAACAAACATCAGTTCAGTTTTGGAAACTGAAATGCTAGCTGAATTCCTGAAATGCTAGCTTTTGTTTCTTGGAAGTCCCTGCTGCTCAATTTGTTCCTCTTAAATTATGGACAAAGGATCTCCTAGTATCATCTGCCCCTGTCTCTCCTTAGCCCTACCTAACAGGACAAACACAACTTTAAGGCTCTGAGACCTGACTGACATTTGTAGAGTATTTCTTCCATTTGAATTAGGATTGGAAAAACGTGAGATATATTTAAAGATACTGTCACACTTTTTTTTTTTTTTCTAGAGCCATAGTCTCACTTAATCACCCTTGATAGAGTGTCGTGGCATCATGGCTCACAGAAACCTCCAACTCCTGAGCTTAGGTTATTCTTTTGCCTCAGCCCTCCGAGTACCTGGGACTACAGGTGCCTGAAAAAATACCTGGATATTTTTTGTTTGCAGTTTGGCAAGGGCCGGGTTTGAACCCACCACACTGGGTATATGGGGCTAGCACCCTACTCACTGAGCCACAGGTGCCGCCTGATATTGTCACAGTCTTAACATATGTAGTATTTCTTTATGAATTCTGTTGTGTACTGAAATGAGTACTGGGTATACGATTTGACACTTCTCATTTGTAGGAGATTTCTGTGTTACAAATTTTTTATTTATACAATGGTTGAAGGATTAAACAACTGTTAATCTCTTCACATTTGTAGAGTTTTTCTTCAACATGAATTCTGTTGTGTACAGAAAACAGTGCCTACTGGAATAAGGCTTTGCCACATCTTCACAGTGTTCCCATTTTTCCTGCTATGATTTCTCTTATGTTTAATAAGAACTGAGGACCACTGAAAAGCTTTGCCACATTATTCACATTTGTAAGATTTCTCTCCAATATGAATGTTCTTATGTGTAGTAAGGTTTGAGCTGTGGTTAAAGTCATTGCCACACTGTTCACATTTGTAGGATTTCTCTCCAATTTGAGTTCTTTTATGCTTAGCATGCTATGAACACCAGGTAAAGGCACTGCCACAGTCTCCATATAGAAAGTTTCTCTCTTGTGTGATTTCTTCTATGTACAGTGAGGATTGAATGTGAGTTAGAGTTTGCCCACTGTCCATATTTATAAGGTTTCTGTCCAGAATAAATTCATAAATGTCTACAAAGGTTCAGAAATACATTAAAGCCTTTGCCACATTTTTTGACCTTTGTAGAGTTTCTCTCCACAACAAATGTGTACTACTAATGACCTACATTAAAAGGCTTTACCACATTTTTTAAATTTGTAAGGTTTACGTCCAGAGTAAATTCTTTGATATTTAGAAAGGCGTGAGTACCAGTTAAGGCTTTACCACATTCTTGACATTTGTAGGGTTTCTGGCCATAGTGAATTCTTTGCTGTTCAGAATGGTGGGAGTGCTTGAGTAAGGGCTTTGGCACATTCTTGACATTTGTAGGGTTTCTCTCCAGAGTGAATTATTTTATGTACAGAGAGGCTTGAATACTGGTTAACAGTTTTGCCACTGGTGGCACCTGTGGCTCAAAGGAGTTGGGTGCTGGCCCCATATACCGGAGGTAATGGGTTCAAACCCAGCCCTGGAGAAAAAATGCAAAAAATAAATTAATTAAAAAGTTTTGCCACATTCTTGACATTTGTAGGGTTTCTCTTCAGAATGAATTACAAGATGTACAGAAAGGCTTGAGTAATGGTTAAAGGGTTTGCCAAATTCTTGACATTTGTAGGATTTCTCTCCAGAGTGAATTCTTTCATGTTTAGAAAGATGTGAGTATTGGTTAAAAGCTTTGCCAAGTTCTTCACATTCATAGGGTTTCTCTCTTGAGCAGAGGTTCTCAAACTGTGGGACCCGAAACACAGGAACTGTATTAAATGGCTGCAGCATTAGAAAGGTTGAGAACCACTGCTCTAGAGTGAATTCTTTTATGTTTAGTAAGGGCTGAGCTAATATTAAAGGCTTTGCCACATTCTTCACATTTGTAGGGTTTCTGTCCAGAGTGAATTCTTTGATGTACAGAAAGGCTTGAGTACTGGTTAAAGGCTTTGCCACATTCTTGACATTTATAGGGTTTCTCTCCAGAGTGAATTCTTTGATGTACAGAAAAACTTGAGTAATTGTTAAAGGCTTTGCCACATTCTTGACATTTGTAGGGTTTCTCTCCAGAGTGAATTCTTTGATGTCTAGAAAGGTTTGAGTACTGGTTAAAGGTTTTGCCACACTCTTGACATTTGTAGGGTTTCTCTCCAGAGTGAATACTTTGATGTCTAGTAAGGGCTGAACTATTATTAAAGGCTTTGCCACATTCTTGACATTTGTAGGGTTTCTGTCCAGAATGAATTCTTTGATGTACAGAAAGGTGTATGTGCCGGTTAAAAGCTTTGCCACATTCTTGACATTTGTAGGGTTTCTCTCCAGAGTGAATTCTTTGATGTACAGAAAGGTGTGTGTGCCAGATAAAGGCTTTGCCACATTCTTGACATTTGTATGGTTTCTCTCCAGAATGTATTCTTTGATGTACAGAAAGGCTGGAGTACTGGTTAAAGGTTTTCCCACATTCTTGACATTTGTATGGTTTCTCTCCAGAATGAATTCTTTGATGTCTAGAAAGGTGTGTGTGCTGATTAAAGGCTTTGCCACATTCTTGACATTTGTACGGTTTCTCTCCAGAATGAATTCTTTGATGTACAGAAAGGCTTGAGAACTGGGTAAAGGCTTTGCCACACTCTTGACATTTGTAGGGTTTCTCTCCAGAGTGAATTCTTTGATGTGCAGAAAGGTGTGAGGATTGTTTAAATACTTTGCCACACTCTGGACATTTGTAG